TGAACAGGAGCCAGCTGCAGGATCCAGAGCAAGCAAAAGCCTGCGAGTCTTGCCAGAAAGTCCACCTATATTGGATGCAGGCCACACCCCCAAGCACACTCCTTTTCAACTGATTGGCTACTCATAGCAGATCCCATCATGGAGGGGATCACATTATATCAGATCTCAGCATGGAGGTGATTGCATCATTATATGACTGCCAAACTAGATCCTAACTGCTGAATCACTGAGAATCATGGTCTAGCCAAGTTGACATACAACCTTAACAATCACAGTAAGAGAAATGGAAAAAAACAAACAAGCTCGTTGCTGTGGAGTCGATTTCAACTCATAGCAATTCTGACTCACTCATAGTGACCTTACAGGACAGAGCAGAACTTCCCCATGGAGTTTCCAAGGAGCAGCTAGTGGATTCAAACTGTGGACATTTTGGTTATTTAGCAGCTGAGCTCTTAACCACTGCACCACCGGGGCTCCATAAGAGAAAAAGGAGGTTATTATTTCTGTCTGGAACATGGCTTCATAACAACCCCCAAGGGTCCAGATCAGAATTGAGAACAGAAGGCGTTTTGAAGTCAATTGCTCCCACAAACGAAGGATGTCTAAGAGGCAAGAGACTGACTCATAACCTGATATGTTTGCTCCTAAAATTTTATGTCCAGCTTCAAGGTTTGTGAAAAGGAACAATGAATAACATATCAGACTGAGCCTGTAGGACCTATAACCAAAAGAACCCAAACTTGTTGCCGTCAAGAGTAGAACTGCCCCATAGGGTTTCCAAGGAGTGGCTGGTAGATTTGAACTGCTGACCTTTTGGTTAGCAGTCAAACGCTCAGCTGAAAGTAATTACACTCACAGCTGAAGAAGGCTGAGGTGTTTTAGACTGAAAATAGAATAAATCCCAAGTGGTACAAATATATTTTTCTATCTCTATTAAAATATTTTATCAGAAATATTTAACTAGGGCAAAGTAATGAAGTAGAAAATTTTAATCACCAGGATGTCATTTCCTTGGAGAGAACCACAAAGTCCAGAGTCTGATCCTCAGATAGGCAGATACACAAATTACTTTACTGGAGCTCTTCAAGATATTTGGACTTGCACTAACCAAACTCAGAAGAGACTTTTTTATAGCAGCTATTAACATACACTGTCCCAGCAGATCTTAATGGTTATTGGCAAAACGTTAACAAATTTTATTTATCCACATTTTATTATAAACACAGTTGGCAATGACTATCAAGACAGCATTATTGCAGTAATCATTATTGTGAGAGACAGCAATGTATAGTTGACCATGGCTAAGTATACAGATTTAATGACATATAAACAGATTGTGTCTAAAATTTGTTAAACTCAGAAGAACATAAAAAATTTTAAACACTTTTATGCAACTGTAAGTTCAAAAGGGGTGTGATTTGAAACATCACTTGTAGAAATTTTAAAATAACATCAGATTTAATAAGAAAATTCAGAAACACAAATTTGTAAAAACAGTCACCTATAGTATCAACATTTATAATTAGTTGATGTGGTTCCCATATTATCCCAAAATGCTTTTAGAATAATCACAAAATAACTACATCCAGTTGAACTCCCTGGAAAACACACATTGATGCTTTATATAAACAAGATTTCTTGCAAGGGATTCTGGTACTAACTCACATCTTCCCTTCCCATCCTCTGCACATGGGCAGGATGAGTAAAGAGCTCTCAGGGTCTTAGGAGTAGGGCAAGTCTTTCTATCCCAGGATGGTTAGCTGACATTCGTTGTACGGGATTGTTGGAGTGTCTAAATTAGTCAATGTGTCCAATGTTCAGAGTTGTCAGGTTCTGGGTCATTAGTAAGTCTGAGCTGATTGTGTGCCAGGTTGCCTGGTTTATATGGTTGTTTATTGAGTCCAATCAAGTTTGAAATCTGCTGTTTTGATTGGAAATGTGGCCCAAGGTCAGTCATTGCTCAGATAGGAATGAACATCTCCATCATCTTCTGCTAGAACCTGGATTTCCATTGCCCCAGCAATGTCTCTGCCATGAGAAAGGTAGAGAATCAAAGGCTCTCCCTTTCCTTCTGGCTGCTGGAGGCCTTTGCAGTTCGGACTGATGTGAAGCAATGCAGCTAAACCTGTCACAAGTTTCTGTTCTAAAAAGCCTGGATTTGAGTCCTCATTGTGCCAATTGCTGGCTACATGAACTTGGGCAAGACACTTAACCTCTTTAAGCCTTACTTTCCTCATTTGTAAACAGTAATACTTTTCCATAGTGTTGTAGTGAGGATT